GCGCATGCGACTAGCTACTGTCTGCGTGGGGGAGGGAGGGGAGGGTTTGCGGGACTGGGGTGTGCTGATGGGGCGGGGATCGATCCCTCCTCCCCGTGAGCGTTTGACTCTGCGTGCTCATGGGACTGTATGTTTATGAGTATCACGGACACACAGACGAGTGTTACGGTTAATGCAAGTTTCCTAATAGATTCTGCAGGCAACCTGATCCCAAACTTCCGCGCGGGGATGTATGCGCTGCTCTCATTGGATATCCCTTCACCATCAAGAAGGCGCATTTTGTCACCATCAAGAAGGTACATGTCTCCATCAGTGTTGTTAAGCGAAGAAGGCAACTCAAGAGGGAGAAGCCGTGCATCTTCCAGCTTATCCACGGGGACGTAGCCATATGTCGCTGCGAAACAAGACATGTTCACAATTATCAATCGATTGGAGGACGTACCGAAATTCGCGAGTTCGTAGAAATACGCGTCGTGTTCAGTACCCGTCGAGGATCCCATAGCAAGCAGCAGAAAAGAGATAGAAATTGTTCTCGCTTTTCTCTCTCTTGTTGGTGGGGTCAAATATCGCGAAATCAAAGCCATCAAGACATTTGCCATTTGATGAAACGGCCGCACCGGGGGACTCAAGCGACCTCTTCCTCCCACAGTACCCGGCCGCACTCTGAATACACAGGAGGACTTCTCAAACCTTCCGACATCCATTCGCCTGTGGACTTGTGACCGAGACCTGGGTGGACGACTACGATGTGGCGGCCTCTCGGGAGGGGGATGCTACGGAGAGGTGAAAAGGGGCGATCTGGTGCTGTGGGAGCGGTCACGTGCCCCGTTTCGTTCAGAGGCGTGGCCCGATTCTGGCCTGGTTGTCACCCACGTGCGCTTCAGCTGCCTACTACAGCGCCACACAAGCGAGCGATGGTGGCGTCTCATCGACCCACTGCGAGATGAGGGAGTACATCGGCTCTTCTTCGTCCCGCATTCCCTTACACCAGAGCAGCGCCACGCCATCAAATCGACCCGCGAGCGACTCTTTTCGTACCTCCGTCGGAAGGATGGGGGTGACGGCAACGATGGCCATGGGGGGGGCGGTGATGGCGGCCGCGGGCAGCACCAGGGTGCTGGGGTTTAGCCCGGCCCAGCACATCAGGCAGACCCGATGGATGGGGCTGCACCGCACAATGCGGATGAGGAAGGTGGTGTTGGCGGCGGAAGACACGCAAGCCGAGACCGACGTGCGGATGGATCAGGCTTGAGCCCGGGACAACATGGGCGCCGCTGCGGAGGATGCAGAGGTGAATATGACTGATGGTTAGGAGACGCTAGATGGTTACTCTGCACGTGGGTTGTGTCAGCACAGACGTCGCGAATGTGTGTAGGTCAAAACGCATCCTTAATTCGAAGAATCTTTCATTCTCGCCTAATATGAGTGTCTACACATGTACGCATACATCGATGGATACACGATTACGGACACACCATGGCCAGCGGATTGATAAAAGGATGGGTCGAGACACCAATGGCCGAGGAGGTGGGCATATCCTCGTGCTGAGCCAATCCCACCCCCGTGGAAGGATGGATACAGTCAGGCCTCCTCACTCTATCGGCTCCCAGAAGCCATCCTCTGAGAAAAACCAATCCCCGCCCCCGTCCGCCTCCCCGTCATCCCGAGCCTCGAAGTCCTTGTCGCCTAGATCGACGCCATCCGGCCCGCCCCCCTGGTCGACATCCATCGGATCGTCCTCATCGCCGCCGCCCTCAGCCCTCTCGCCACCCCCCTCCTGCTCGGCGGGCGCTGCTGCAGGAACGGATGTAGGACACTCTTCTGGCTTCCTCTTCTTCCCCCTCGTGCGGCTGGCCACACACTCCTTATCCGCCCTGTCCTTGGCCTTGGCCTCCTCAGCGGCCTGCTTCAACGAACGCACCTTCTCCCGCACCCACTCCCTATACTCAACAGCCATCTCAATAGCCCTATCCATATCATCCCTGTCAGCAGATAACACCGGGAAGTTCTTGTGGAAGACGCGGCCATCGTGAACGAGCTGACACCGAATGTAAACCCTGAAGTCACTCCGACGGGTAGCATACAAGCCCATCCTGTCCGGCCAGCCGTCATGGTCCTGTACAGAGTCCAGCCGCTTGTCCACCGCATCCCTCGCCTTCTCGGCCTCATCCTGGCTGGCGAATACGTAATCTGACATGTCCGCATCGGTCCAGCCTATGCGCCTCCGAATATCGTTCCTCCAAGCGACGGCCTCCTGAATGGCCTCCTTGACTCCCTCCTCGGTGGCCGAGAGGATGCGGAAGTAACGGCGGTGACCAAACATTTTCACCAGAATGTAACACCGCTCTCCGAGACCTTCATACCACAAATTCAGAGGACCATTCTCGCTCGCTCTCCGTTCCTGAAGTAGATGTGTAGCTCTATCATGACAAAAATTGGTGTCGTCAGGGGTCATCCCTATGCCGAAGATCTTCATCTTGTTGTCCGGCATGTTGCATTTCTCGAGCTGCTCCGCCCTGCAGTCGTAGGCCTTCTCCAGAATTTCATCAATCACATGAGGGTCAGCTGTTGGCACACGGAAGTAAGTTCTGATCTCCTGGATCATGACGCCGATGTGAACCAATCCTTGACGAACCATAACATGCATGTGTCGAACTTGATGCCGCTCGAAACGCTCGTCAAGGCGCTTCTGGATTAATTCGATGGCGCGTTTCTCGTCTTCAGGCGTCATGGGTGCATGTCTCTCCCTCTCCGCTTTCTCCTCCTGAAGTCCATCAACATGGCCCCGCCAAATGCTGGCGTTGCCAATGGTGCTGGGCGCCCTTTCAAAGAGCCGAGGGTCACGGGCATCCTCTTCCTTGTGGAGACTGTCGTTGGCAGTAATGTTGGTCCAGCACTCCGCCGTCTCCTCTCCGTCATCCTCCTCTACACACATGCACAGAGATGCTAACCGACCAGGTTATCTCTTTCTCTTCTCACCTGGCAGCTCGGCGTCGTGTGACTGAAATCTCTCATTTTCGATGTCCTTTTACGAAATAATGGAATTTACAAAAATGAATAATTAAACTGACAGATGACACACTATTTCTTCAGTGTCTGCGAACCCATTCAATGGCTGCCTTCCTTCGCGCCTCTCCCGAGGGCTGCATGAGGATCCTCACTAAGTCATCAACCACTACCGGAGGGGGCCTGGCTCCTCTCTTGCGGTTAAAGAAACGCCGGATGTCCTGAATACTACAGGTACCCCTACTGTACATGGCCTCACTGAAAGAAACAAACATAAGACTGTTCAGGTCCATTTCTCTGTTTCTGCTGTCACTCACAATGCCACAGCATCCCACTTGGAGCTGCATACGCCCCCCAGATGGGTCGTCGGAATGGTGTGCGTCGTCAGCAAGACCGTCTCGTTGTGGTGTTTTCTGTTGTTGACCTTGAACGAGCGATAGGTGATGATATCGTGCCACACCTGGTTCTCCATCAAGAGGGAACTCTTCTTATCGCCCTCGTCCGTGTAGAAGAGCTCCACAACAGGTGGGCAGGCGCTGTCGAGATCACCTTGGTCAAGAGCGACACAAGACATGGCGGGTAGCTTCAGCGACTTCATCCAAGAAAGAAGGAAGAGAGACGAACGAGCGAGGACAGCCGTGCCAAGGTCCGAGACGTAAAGGTGGCCGAGTGCCGAATTATCGTGGCGAAGCCCCAATCGACATCGCTCCAGTGCAATGAGGGCTCCCAGGATGTATTTGATGTGGCCACCCAGATGCCTTGTCGTCGGGTGTCGATCCTGTGACTCTCCAGGGTACCCAATGAGGAAACGTAAACCGGCGAGGACGACCTGCCAGACCCAAACGTAAGAAGTAGACGCGGCACGGGGGTTATACAGTTGCGCGGTGGCCGCCTTGCGGACAATCGTTCGGAACGTCGCCTCGCACGTGTCCTGAATACTGTCAACACTCAAGTCTGACTTGGCAAGAATGGTTATGGCGAAATGCAACTGCTGGACAAACACCTTGGCCTCCTCGTCCTTCATCAGACTTTGGTTCTGCGAATTGTACGCGCTGATGAGGGAATACTGAATCAATGTGAGGAGACCGACAGTGTCGACGGGATAATGGATCTCTGCGCTGTAGATGTCGGAATATTTCTTGACTTCCTTCTCCACCTTCCGCGCCCTCTCCTCCTTGCCGCGCCGAATGCGTCTCGGGTTGTTGGGCTGAGGCGGGGGGTTGTTGAACGGCCGCGGCTCGTGGAACCCACTGCGGTTCCTCGTGTACACCCCTCCCATTCCAAACGAGCCCGCTCGGTAGGTTGGATGTAAATGATGACCATCGTGGCAAACAAGAAATCATTCGTGTCTGTATGTCTGTATGTCTGTTCAGCCGCGTGGTGGCTAACATGCCATGCCCGGTGTGCACGATCCGCGATAATGGCCATTTGGCGGGCACGATGAAGCCCCGGGGCCACGGCCGGACCGGACTGTGGTGCAATTGCATTAACAACAACAAGACGACGTGCACCTTCAAGTTGGAGGCCTACCAGTAGATTCACCCATACCTCAGCGGCGGTAAAATCAATTCGTTTTTTCCTCGAAGTCCCAGTTTTAGAAATTCGGTAAAACCGATGGTTTTTATTCTTTACGAGTAAGAGTTCTTTGCTCTCCAGTAATGAGTCACACATCAATTACTTAATTCGGACAGAAGGGTCGTTGCCGACAGAGGACGCTTACTTGTTGACAAGAGAATGCAATTTCTACCGAATTTTACAACCGAACAGATTTGGGACAGAGACGTTAATTCAGTTAACATCGTCAAGCAGACATTCTTACAGAACTACTAGGAGAGCCCTTCTCTTCGTTTGGGGTTCGTCCTTCGTGCGTGTGCATGCTGCCTGTTTGGTGTGTGCTGTGGACAGAAAAGATCTCCAGTAGCGCCGGAAAGGTAGGCCCGTGTAACCGAACGCGGCGAGAATGGAGCGTTTCCAGAAGACAGTTGCAACGCTGTCGCTGGTCGCCGTTTCCTGTGCTGTGGGCGTGTTGTTGTCGAAAAAAAGCCGCAAAACATCACTACAGGCGGGACCGTTCAGCAACACAACCATTGTCACCGCCTACTTTGAGCTTCCATTCAGCAAACACTCACATGTGAACTCGACGTAGTGATCTTCACCTTTATTATGATCACTACGTCGTTGTTTGCCGTGTCGTCTGTTTGCTGTTTGTTTTGAATCAGGAGGAATACGATGAGTGGATGCGGCCTATGCTGTCGATTCGGAATGAGATGGTCATCTTTTACGACAGAACAAGTGTACCCAAGATACGAAGGATGAGGAAGGGGCTGATGGATAAAACCCTGATCATTCAAGAACGCTTCCGAGACTTCTATGTGTGGAGACACCACAATCAATTCGTCCGGTCGCACGATCAATTCCTCAACACGAGGTACTTTGGGGGTCTGGTTGACGTGGTTGACTTCGCTTTTCACGTGGTTCGCTTGTCAGCTACTTTGGCAAAAGGAAGCCACTCGCTACACTACACAGCCCAGAGCTGTACATGATTTGGCATGAGAAAGTCAATCATTTGAAACGAGCGATGGACGAAAACCCTTTGGCACAGAGTTCTTTCTCTGGATGGACATCGGTGTGTAAGCGGGTATAGAAAGATCCACGCGCTCTACGAACGCCGCTAATGCGTTCGGTGTCTCAGTTACTTCCGACGTTTGACGAAGGAGGAAATCGCCATGGACTACTACAGATTTTTCCCTGATCGAGACAAGATCCTGAGGCTTCCTAGGCATAAAGTCTGGTTGGTCATGGCCAAACCGTTTGCCAAGAGATAAAGGCGGTGCAAAAAACTCCAATGCTTGCCAAGGTATGTCACTAAAGTGAGACACAGCATTCACATGTCAGGTGTGTGTGCATTGGCAATCAGATTCAAGCCGCATCACTTCTACTTGATGGGCGGTTGGCCGAAATACATACAAACATTGCTCAATGTCCCCTCCTCCCTTCTCTCCCTCTCTCAGGTTTTATCGGCGGCCACAGGGAAACCCTATACTGGCTCCACTCTGAGTTCTATAAAATGCTCAGGTGGTTCATCAAGACCAACCGCTTTATAGGGAAGGACCAGGATGTTTTCAACTCCCTGTGTCTCATACATCCAACAAGATGCCACTTTATCAGGAGGCCAGACAAGTCAAATGACGACAAGTGGCTCTACGCAAGAGTTGTTCTAAGGAGAGACGTACCACGCTGAAGGATCCCATGTGGACCGCGACAAGTCATTCATCCATGAATGGCGTGATTCCTTTTGGCGTGACTGTGTGCCGTAAGGCACGGACGCTTTGTCAGACGTACACACTTATCCAAATGCGTGTATCAGTGCCTGACATACTCGATCAACGGATGCGCGCGAAGAAATCGACGCGTTTGAATACCACACAATGATCGATGAGGCCATATAGTGCGGACGCATGGTCGGGACCTTTCCGTGTGGAGACACCATAAGGACTTCGTAAGAGGGCATTGGTCTCTCGTGCCGATTGTGAATGCTGTTTGTCGTGCAGATGACTTTATCTGAAGGCACCTTGTGCAGCGGACCTATCTGTGTATGCCCCCGTTGCTCGCTTTGTTTGATTGCTCTTGTGCGAGTCCACGACAATGCAAACCATGGCGGCAAACATAGATTCCTTATCCGTGGCTTACATATAATGTGTGCGTGTGGCCGTCGAGAAGCCATGCAGATACACGCAAAGCAACCGACTCGTCAGCCGTATGGTCTGTCTATTTGCTTGGTTTGCACGATCGTGCCAGTCGTATGTTGGCCAATGTGGAGACAATACCCTGCTTGTTTCGTGTGGAGACACCATTGGTCTCTCGTGCCGATTTTGAATGTTGTCTGTCGTGCAGATGAATGGCACGTTATGTGTTGACCGGCTTGATTCATGCGGACCCATTTTGTGTATCCCCGTTGGTTACTTCATCTTTGATTGCTCTTGTGCCAGCGAGTCTACGCAATGCAAGCTGTGAAACAGAAACGTAGACTCATGAGAAAAAGGCAACTTGCATCCATCCGTCCATCACAAACCAGCCACAACACGCAGTTGTGCGGTTTGTGATGGATCAGAGCAGTTGATATGTCAAGAAGGTTGCACTAGCCTTTGAATGTCATCAGGAACATGTGCCATCATGAGCAGCGCCGACTTGAGCCCCTCTTGACCACGCACGGTCCTATGCTGCACAGCTGGTGCAGTTTGCCTCCGCTTCGCCGGTGGAGAGAGGCGTCGAGGCAGCTCCTCCGGTGCGCCTGGCTGCTCCAAGCCATGAGCAAGCGATGAGCGGGTGGCTGATCGCGATAGAGCTTTGCAGGATCTGAGTCCGACGTCGTCGCGCTGTCTGGCCAGTTTTGAGTCAGCAGGCCGAGTTTCAGGGATCGATTTGCTTCGGAGGTCGCGGGTGATTGAAGCAAGAGCCTGGGACACGCTAACCTGTGCCACCTCTAGAGGTGAGGCTGTCTCTGTATCCACATCAGCTTGACACTCCAGCAGACTGTCCGAAGACATCAACAGCTGAAACAGGTCCTGAAACGACAACTCGATGTGTGCGATGGAATCACGGTCTCGAAGGAGAGTCACCTACCTGTGTTTTGGATCTCTTCTGGAGCATCGCTGCTGACTGTTGGGGTCTGAGACGCATAAGCCTCAGGGCCTCGTCGAGCTGTCTCTCCCACGCCTCCTCCTCGCCCTGGTGGCCACTTACATCACTGTGCACCAAATTGTAGGGCATCAGCCTGGACGGAAGACCTGGAGCAGCCTCGTTTTAGACATGCTTTTGACATGAGTTCTTTTCCGCGGTGGCTGGCTCGTGTCCACCCACCTGCTGGTGCTTTGGCTGCAGGCTGGCTTTTGCTATCGGCTGCAGCGGCTGTGTCCGTCTCTCTTTTTTTCAGCTTTCTACGCAGCTTGGACGCCAGAAACTGACAGTAAATGTTTGGGCAATGGGAAGCGTCTGACGTTTTGTCATGACTTACAATCGTCAATGCATCCCTCAGAATCTCCTTCTTCCTTTCCTCCATCTCTTCATCCGGTTCTTGGTCCTCCGGCGGCCCCCACAAAAAAGCGTCCTCTTCCATGTCTCCGTCCACCAATTCCGCAACCCCCTTTCGCCCATTGTCTTGCTCCTCATCCGCAAATATACGTGATTGCTTTAGAGCAGCGAAGGGCCCATCTGTCAAGGCGGCTCGAAGACGGGTTATGGGTTTGTTGCTTCTGGACGTGGCAGAAGAAGAGGAGCTCTGGCGCTCGACACCAGCTGCAGGCCCACCATCCCCCGCCCCGCGTGTCCTTATGGCTGGGGGGCCCGTCAGAGACTGGCATCAACAAATGACACCGCAGAATGAAGCTGAGAAAGGTGTCAGTGGCAGTTGAATACCCTTCTCTGTGCTCTGATGTCCAGGAAGCGGCTGAGGCTGCCCAGACAATCAGTCATCCACAGAGACATGACGAGCACAACAGGCGGAAACTTGTTACCTTCTACTCCTCCGACGTCTCATTTCTCTCTCAGACGGGATCCCGCTGCGCAGCATCTGTTTTTGCACGAGTGCTTTGAAGTTCTGGATGCAAGCTCTGTTGCACAGCGACACGCATATTAATGCAGATACTGGTGTCCACGTGTAAGTGTCGTCAGCGGTACCTCAATGAAGAGAGGACGGTCGGCGTCCCAGTTGGTTTGTTCTTTGTCGATAGCTCGGCTAGTCTGCCGATGAGGGCGCTCTGGTGTCTTCCGATCTGTTTGTTTCGAAAGTCAAGATCTATGTCCACATCCATACCGCCTCGTCTGTGAGGTGGAGTTGGACACAACAAATTCGATACAACACGTACGTCTGACTAGAATAAGAGCCGCTCCATACGAACCTGCGTGCGTAGGGGTTGCGCGTCTGCGGTGACTCATCCTGTCCCTTTCGGCGGCTCCCGCTTTGTTTCATTGCCAGCTCTGGCCGCCGAACACGTGCCGACGGGAGATTTCCAGTAAAAGTGTAGGTACTGCGTGAACGCACATAGTGGGAGATCCCCAACCAACCAACCCTCCGCCCTGCGCCCATCCTGTCACCTCGGCCAAAAGTATAGATGCAGTTCGGCGAGGTCGCTGTGCGGCATGTAACGGATACTCTGAGAGGCACGCACTAGGCTTTCCAGTTAGCACATATTGTCACACTTTCTCTCACCGACTCAACCTCCTTCCAGCGCTGCTGCAGATTGGCAAGCTCAAGCTCGACGCCCTAACGTTGCGAAAGGAGAAGTGATCCTGGGCGGTCTCCCCTTTTTCAGGTAAGCTCACCCGTTTTGCCAGCTCCTCTGCCCTCCGCTCCCTTTCTCTCTGTTCGGCAGTCTTCCGCTTCTTTCCAAGACGAGAATGGGAGCTCGCGGGACGCGAAGAGGACTCGTGGGAGGATCTCTCAGGCACAGCTCCTTCGGGTATTCGCAACGTCACTGCTGGAGTTCCTTGGACGCCCTGAACAGATGGAACAACGAATAGATGGTCCTTTGATCAATAGCGGATGCCCTTCATGTTCGGTACAGCTTTCGCGTATGACGCTCGGCGCTGCGTGATCGATGAACGGCGGGGCATCGGAAACGGCTGTCTCTCAGTTTCATCACTTCCACCGTAGTACATCAGAACATCAGAGAACTGGAGGCGTACACAAATTGAGACAAGCATCTGAAATGGGCAGGTACTTTTAGACCTCACCTCTCTCAAAGATATCGCCCTTGTTGTGGAGGCAGAGAAAGCACACGAAGACAGACTTTCCATGCAGAAGAGTCAGATCTAGCGTTACCCGTTGTCGTTCCTGAAAGGAAAGCAATGTCCAGAAACCTGAGTCACGCGTAAGGGAGCTCACCAATCCAAGAGGTGGAAGAGCCACGCTGCATCGCTCCGTTCTATGCCCCATCGCTTTGTTGCACGTAGAAACTCACCAATTCGGATCAGCTGCGTCCCTGTGTATGTACGTGCCAATCACAGGGGCATTTGTCATACGGAGGCCTTAACTTTACCGTCAACGTCCAGTCTCGCGAACGCCGCTGCGATGGAACCAAATCTCAGCTCAATCTAAGGAGCAAAGAAAAGACTGCCGTGACACCTTTGGTTACCATTCGTGTGAGCCATTTGTGTACCATATGCTTTAGTTCTCGCAAGCTCTTCGCATCTTCTGGTGTGAGCTTCGGCAGAAACCTGCTTCGTTCAGCCGCCAATGCAAAGAATGCCTCAAACTCAGCACAGGTCACGGACTCGCATCTGTCCTGCATGTGCAAGACACGTCTGTGAGGAACGATGAACCACTATCAGGCAGACCCGGTCCAGCTCTTCGAAGAGCTTTTCTGCGTCTGAAAGGTTTGACACAACCGCAGGCAGGTGGTACTGGTCCTATCAGTTACCTAGAGTGAGGCTTTTACCTTCGGGAATCATGTCAAACATCGCGGGGCACCTGAGATTGAAGCAGAGAACATCACTAGTGTTCAGGTGAACGGAGCTGGAGCTGACCAGGCAACAAGGTCTGCTTGATCTATCCGGCCATCGTCTGGGGCAAACACGCAGGAACAGCCAAATGGCTTATCTCGATATGTCGCTGGCTTACTGTCTTCATCAATCAGGCGGAATGCCACGTTTGGGTCACGGAACCGTCGAATAACCCTCCTCCTGAACCTCTCGAGAGTCTGTGAGTCTTTAAACCAGCACGCCACCTTGTGTTGGAGTGTCCACAAGCGCATTACCTTCGTCCAGCGCCTGAAGATCCTCGTCTGCGTGTCTGGAAGGGCGCTTGTGGTGTGGCAACCAACATGCGAGTGAGTTATAGAAATCGACAAACTCTCGCTCTCTCACAAAGCCAAAGGGATACTGGTCAAGCAGCTCGAACACTCGGAACCCCAGAGACACGGAGAGGCGCAGCTGGGATACGACGTTGGGCAACATTGCTGCTCTATGTGATTGATGTATTCATCTTACCTGGAGATTGGTAAGTAAGGCCAAAAAATCGTCTGAGATTGGTGCCAAGCGAGGAGCGAAGTGTGTGCACACTCAACGCGGAGAAAAGATGTGACGGTACCTGAATTGATGATGCCGTCACTATCGCCATCGGCATCTGATGAAAGAGTTGGATGCATCCATCATGTGTTCCGCATGAGCTTTGTCCGGCCGACGTTTAAAAGCAGCGGCGAGCGAGCCATACTTATCAATCATCGACCTGGAAGGAAGTGGGCCAATTCACAATGTCAGATAGTATCCTTCGAGTTCCTACTCGTGGATGTCGCAGCAAGCCTGACGAACTGCAAGGACACAACATATGCTTATTTCTGTCCAGAAGTACTGACGTAGTCGGTGAGCTCACGTTTGGCGATGTCCTTAAAAGGCTCATCGTCCCCTCCATCCGCGCTGGCTGATGCAACATGCATCGACTCGTCAGCTGCTTCGGATCTGGCAATGGATAAACAAATGAATTGGAGCGACGTAGGAAGGGCATGAACACGCGCAGACCGTGCACGGGATGGTGTGCCTCGCTTGGTAAGCTGCATCAGATCATCCTGCAGCAGACCCTCCAGGTCATCACCAGGAATGTGACACCTGCAGAAAAAGCGTGTCTTGCTTACGTAGAGACAAACTACACTCGGGCATACCTTACGAACACCACGGCCATCTCGTAGATATATGCAGCGGATGCCGTGTCAAGAAGAAACTCCAGCTCGCCACCCATTACGCGAAATGAAGCCACCACACTGCGACACTAAGAGTGAAGAACAAGAATATTAGGCAGTATTGTGCGCAGATATCAACAATTAATCCTACCCAGTCCCTTCTTAGTTGCCTGTTGGCGAACTGGTCAAGCATGTACGACCGTGGATCTGTCGTGTCTTCATTCATCTCCTCCATCAGGTCAGGCGCTTTGAGGCTCGCCTCTAGGTGAGCAAGCGCCTTGACTGCGTGGTGTAAGGCCTCAGCGTGCCTGTGAAGACAGTCGGCATTGTGTTGGATTCACCGACGCTGGCATATTCCTACTGACCTCTTCATCTGTGAGAGCACAGCTGACAAATTTGTCCGCGTGTGAGCCAAAAGCAGGCATACTCCAGACCAGCTGTCCCGAGCGTCCCTGTCCGGCGTGACGATGATCTTGTCTGCTTGCTCATGAGGTTTGCGAGGTCCCTCCTCATTCTTTGTTTCAGCCCACTGATAATGGCGATTCACTGCAGCATCATGTAGAAGCTGCAGAAAAGGCGCAGGAAGCACAACTTGAACTGCTGCTCCGGATTGACAATGAATGTCATGCAGGTACAACTTGCTCAAGGGGTCACAGAACTGACATTACCACCTTTTCCAGCAACGACGCCTTTTGAAGGTACGACAGGGCGGAATGGTGATTGTTCAGCCTGTCGGAAACCATTGTGACCGAACGGAGATTCCATGCAGGGCTGGCGTCACAGGCGCGTCTGCTTGGGTCACCCTCGATGGTATGCAGCAAACGCATTCAATAAAACCAGCTGGCACCGCGTGAACTCAAGTGGCATTACACTACTCTGAATGCACAGCAAACACACTGGGCCAACTCCACTACAGACCCAAGTGGTAGCTACTTACGTGTTGATACGATCTTTTCCACGCTGCAAGGGCCTCCTCCGCTGCCCGAAGACTGTTCATGGCGTCCGAAAACCGACTCGAGTTTATCAGCAAGGCCACTCGGTGGGTTGCATCGTCGACGACGCGGTAGAAATGGATCTGGATTGCAATTGCTGGATTGAGTTAAAAGGGCCATGTGCTTCTCTTCTCTGTCACTCACCTCCTGGGGGTCCAGTTGCGAGACTCTCGTCTCGTCATCCTCATTGCGCTCCGCCTTCGACAACGCCCTGCACAGCTGATAGAACATAGACAAACATTGGGACAGATCAATGTCGTGTGTTTCGGCTTGAAGCTCTTACGTCATCGAATGCGGTGAGCAAGGTTTTCCCTCGCAGCAACAGGTTCTCCATTTGGATGTCGCTACAGACTCTTGCAGGAACTGAGAAACGGAACAGGGGGCGATTCGGAAGAGGACTTGGGGCCCAACTTGCTCAATCCGGGATGAAGTGGTCCGGCTGTCGAGCTACGCGTTCGCGTTTCGGGCAATGCGTGAATATGAGCTGGGGGCCGCATGCAAAAGCCCCCGACAACGGAACTGAGGGGATTGCGAGCTTGGCGACCGCGGTGGCAATTCCGAGAAACGTAGAGTTCATTGAGGAGGGCGTCAAAAAGTGGGAGCGCCGACGACAGGCCGGTGAATGTGTCTGTGTGATGGACAGGGATACGTGGACCGCAGACCGACCGGATGGCATGCAACATACGTGATGTGCACACACACAGAAAATCTGAGGGATGTGTAGCGAGTTGTAGTCGCCCAGATGTCTGTCTGTGCGACCTCGCCCATTGACCATTGGCAAGTCGTCGCTTGCTGGCTTTGATTTGCAAACCTTCATGATCGTTGCTGCATTGCAGAAGGGGGGGTGCAGCCTTCGCGGCCGCCTCCCCTAGCGGACATTGCTGCAAACACCTGATCGAAGAAATCAACACACGGAAGAATGGCACTCGAGGCCAGTCCTGCCGCATAGATGGGTGAAGTCTGTGAACTGTACGGTAGTCGTCATATTTACACGTTTATTTTGTTTCTGCAGTTATGTATGAGGATTGGAAGGGCACCACGCACAAATTGACCCCGGAGTTTATTCAGGGACTGGACAAGCGTTACGGATGGACTCGCGGGTACTTTCTCCCACACATCTACACCTATGAGTTCGACCCCAGACCATGTGCACCCACGGCGGCACCGATATGTTTCGATTTGGTGCCCTCGTCGGATGTGGGGTAGGCCATCCGCTTCAACTGGATCCACTGCTGCTGCTGCGACGTCACGTCAGTGTGTACGCGATGCGGCATCATACTGAACCATCATCCCTCATCCCCGACCGCTGCGTCACACCGCTCCCTGTGACCCCGAAGCGTACTTTGGACGCCGTGCAAAGCGATATGCAACTCATAGGATACACGGGGTCATTGAAGCGGGGCCCCGGCTTGTATTCCGGCCTGGCTCAGTACCAGGCGACCCGCAGAGGCGGCCAAAAGGTATCATGACCTCACGGGCGAATACACAGGAGACAGTAAGCAACGCACAGCCTTTTAGGAACGCAATAGACCCTGTCTCCTTCGTTCAGCCCAACGATACATGTGGATGTATTGGCACCCGCTGAAATCTGTCTCTGTTGAGGAGTACGCGAAGTATCTGGACACGTGCTCCTAGTTGGAGGGCTATCTGATTTTGATCCAGTCGGGTAGGAGGCAAATGATCTGTTAATGACAACACAATGATCGATGTGGGAATGCATATTCAGGAGTTTACAAGGAGACGGAGTTGGATGCACTGGCAAAGTACTTTGAGAAAGGCAGGCTTGTGTTTCCGGGCCTCCCGAAGGGTGACCTCAGGAAGTTATTGAAGAAGCTATTTACCGATTTTTACAACCGACAGATTTAGGACGGAGACGTTAATTCAGTTGAAGAATGAATCTGGAGTCAGGAGACAGCGGTGACATGGATATCAGTCGATGTAACATGATGAAATACAGTCATATCCGAAGAGGAGGGGGGGTGGCCTAGGCAGGTCAGTCAATCTGAGTGATTCATGGATGTCTCCGCATCGGTCTGCGCTTCGCACATCCCTCGCTCCACCATTCATGAATCACTCGATTGACTGACATGCCGTCGGCGCTTCGGGCACCTTCGGTGCCCTCCTCCTCATCATTGCAAATACTGACCACGTGTGAATTGTACCGTGAAGGCCTCCGTGCTGGTACTGAGGGACCGAAAGACAATGCGGGAGAAATCATTCCCATGACGGCTGCTTTCTCAAGTGTTCAAAATGATTTCGTTTCAATTCGAAATACATCTTCCCCTTCCCCACAAAGAATAGCAGGAGAGACGGCGCATGAAAGGAGGAGCGTGTTGCGATGATTCAACACCCCTTCAACTAAAAAAGGAAGAAACAAGGCTCGCGTTCCACACATTTTCTCCAAACAAGGCTCTTGTTCCGATAGCAGCTCGATTCCAGGTCCACGGATTGATTTGTTTACTGTCACCTATGGAAGGCTTACGAATAGACAACAGCCATCCAACATCACACGACGGACGCCGGATTACCTATCTATCTTCCACGTGTATGCGTGGAGCAGTGCATCTGCCGGCGCTGGCTTGCCCAGATTCTTGTCCAGGAGGGAGACAACCTTCGTCACATCGGCTTGAACTCGATGGCCGCCGAGCGGAGGGAAGATGGCCATGGCGTAGTTTTGCTTCAACATTTGTGCTTCGAACCAGATGCCTGCATCAACAGACACACAAGCACAACAGTGAAACAAACAGCTAGGTGGGACAATTGTGTTGGGCATGCCTTTGAAGATTCGGTCACTGGGCATCAGCTCGAGGATCTGTCACGACGCAGTAGTTGAAGAATGTACTGAAATTGTGCAAATGATTTGTGACCAGTGTATGTTTTGCACAGAATCGATGATTGAAGAAGGCACTGAAAGAGTAGAGACAAGTGAAGCCCATGATGTACTCTTGGTGCGAGATGACGTACCCGCCGTGAGGACCGACCATAGCCAGTACGTTCAACCCCATCCACTCCACGAAGCCGCGGAAGTCTCCTTGATTCACGTCCCTAAACATCTTCAACTCCTCCCCCTTCCCTCTCCTCTGCAGCAACGCCTGTATCTCACTCACGAGCTGACTCTCGTTGGTCATGTCTCTCTTCTTGCCTCTGCGGCTCAAAAAGAGTACAACCTATAAACGAAGAACAAAGACGGTGAAGACGCAAGATGAGATACGAGATGATACCTTCCGCTGGTCGAGGGGTGTGTCTCTCCGCACTTTCATCCGCTCCACGAACCGAAGCTGCACGAGAAACAGAACTAGAGTGGCGTGTGTATGTACATATCAGGTAGTATGTGTGCTGAATATGTATTACTGACGGCGAAGTAAGGATGGACCAATGGCGAGCGGCAGGAGAAGAGAAGCCGCTTTGCCTTAATGCGTTGCCGATTGCCGTTTCGCAGCCTAATCACCCGCCGCTGGTCGAATCCCAGCGCCTGTTGGATGTTTCTCACAGTGCCACTCGATGCGCCGCCTGATGTAATGATAACGGTCTCGGCATCAGCAGATGCGCCGCTTGCTCGATTACATGCGTGACTCGATCGAGGAAGTGCTGAAAGGACCACGCGTCGGGGGTGGTGGCCAGGATGGCAGAAGGATAGTTTGTTACGTGAGCAAAATATCCTCCGTCGGTGAGCAGCGGCTTGTGCTGGACTCCCGGAGACATGCAGGAAGATTGCGACCACCTAAAACGCGAACATTGACACTCTTGGTGTCCCTCCGTGTGTTGCTTTGACAATTACCTATCAACAGGAGGGGCATTGACATATGAGCCATCAGTGATCACCAGGTTCTGACCATGTTGGCCGCGAAAGTACACATGAGTCTGGTCAAATTCAGAATGCTCCTTCATCAGTTTCTTTTCCAGGAAGGATAAATTGTCGGACAGCAGGATCGGAAATGACACAGAGAAGTCGGGAAATATAAGCTCCTCAGCATACTCGATCTTGTCATTCGACGCTGCAATGCAAGGCGCCCAGTTGTGCGCCATGTTCTGCAGACACTCGGTCAGCACAGCTGGGGCCCAGTCAGAAGACTCCACCGATGAGACATTTGCGTCCACATTCCGTCCTGATGCAGCCAGGAGGCGGATAGCACCTCCCCCAGCCAAAGATAGCCCTCCTCCACCCACAGGCTCTGCGATAGCATCCGACGGCATTTCCTCTTTTGCTGCAGCTGGAACCGTTGTCAAAGAACGAGAGTAGTTCGCGCCGCCTTGAGTGTGAACGAGCACTGTGACGACAATGATGACGCCGACGGCGACAGAGAAGACGGTAATAAGACACAAGGTCCTGCATTGGACAAGAAGGAAAATGCGGTGCAGCATGCATTTGCCACACAAACGACTTGTCACCTCATTTGTCAGTCCAGTGTCCAGTGTGCAGCATGATCATTATCTTTCTTGAGCTGCCTTCGCTTTTCTTTGAGGCCCTCCGGCGGGTTCGCGCAACGGTGGCTCCATCCAATGGAGATTAAGAAGACGAAGACGCACTGCTGCTGACAGTGTTGCGTCGGACCCCAAATGAATGAAATGACGCCCCCAACCCCCCCCAACTCCTCGCGAAACTTTTCCCATTGTCAAATTTGAGTGCCGTGAGCGGCAGGTGGTTCATGATGGATCCTTTCCTTGTTGCACGAGTGCAGTTCTAAAGTGAGCGTGTGAAATTCCCCTACGCGTTCGTATCTGGTCGCCTCATTCTCATTACCTCCACGGTACATGCAACTGCTGTGTGTCTCTGTCTGTGTATCTTCCTGTCTGACCCCACCCAAAAACGACAACAAAAGCACACACTGTGACACAACTTTTTTTTTTTTCGTGGGGAAACTGTCATTAACCGTAACACTCGTCTGTGTGTCCGTGATACTCATACAAATTCCGGCAGTCACATCGTCGGCTGCATGTGGACAGCGCAGACGTCCCTTTCTCGTTGCATGCGCAACAGGGGGGCCCGCCGCCGTCTCGCGGGATGAGGGTAGGTGGAGGGGGTTGGGTGTAGTCCGATACACGCTCGCTCATCCGAAAAGGAGGAGAAACAGCCGAGAAATCACCAACTCAATCATGGGGGGTAAGATGAATGTTGCCACAATGCAATGCAATGTGACACAACACCAGCACAACGGACTAGGACACGTCTCAGGGAACATGTGCGCAAACCCTCCCCCCACCTTCTCCCGCCTCCCGTCCTCTGTCTACTTCTGCTGCTTCTGGGTTGGCGTGGTGTCTGTCTTTGTGTTTGTGGTGATGAGAGCATTGACCACCCGTATAGACCGCATGTCGCGTATCTGCGAGTCACTGAGCGCGATATCCCATATGGTGAGCTCATCCATCCAACCCATAAACCGACCATACGGGCGCGAGAACGCCGTCCCTGCAACAGTAGTCGTGGTGCCGTTGCTACTGCTGGTCGTGCCCGTGACAGTACCGGCACTACCGCCGATGGCCGCGTCTTTCCATGACGCAGAAATGTCACCGATCTGTGTGAGTGTCGAGTTGGCGGAGAGCACCTGTACGGCGTTGATATAGATAGCCACGGGGCCTTCCGCCATCCGGCCGTCGAATGTGACTGACATACGGGGACACACGCCAGGCAAAGACAAGGCACGTGTGCATTGGTGTCGGCGTATGCATGGCCATGCACTCGTCATCTCACCGGTTACATGATTCCATTCGGCTTCTGGGTACGCCGCGCTGTACGTCTTTTCCACCCCAGCAGCATGGTCGGCGATGGCCAATCTCAGCGATCCATCCCACAACGTCAACGAAAGGCCCCCTCCATGCCCCCCTTCCTCATACACCAGCTGCATCTCCTCAAGCCTCACGAGCTTCAGAAACACCATCAGTGTGAACGATCGGCATGGACGCGACAGAAGGTCTGACTCGAGGATCAAATGATAGTCGCCGTCAAACGATATCGTGGTAGAGTTGAAGCGAGGGTTGTCCTCTGCATCATACAGGGGGTACTCGGCTTGCAGCAACTCTGTCTGGACGGTGGCCTCATTCTGCAGCAACTCGTCGGTCAGGCTATCCTCGAAATTAAACCTGGCCACCATGCGCGCCTGACGCTTGAACGTGATGCTGCCAACATTGGCAGCATCATCGTATATGCGGATGTCGTCCAACATCCCAACGAACCCATCAGCAACGTCAGACGCTGATGCGCCGAGAGAGGCGTCTGCTTCGATGGTGAGAATCTCCTCCCCAGATAGACTCGAGAGGGGCATCCGGCCCACACGAAGTCCGCTCATGTAGCTGCGTGTACGTTGGGGGTGCGGGAAAGTACAACAAATACACAGGCATTGTGGGTATAATGTCTTACAGGGATAAGGCCTTTGTGACGTCAACTTGCACGGCGACGGCAGTCCACTCGGTCGCTGTGTAGGGCGCGGTGACGCTGTAGTCCTCTCCGTCTACCTTCAGCTTGGCCACCAAGCTCCTCAGCTCTACACGCAATTGTAGTCCAGTTGTGTCGGTTCCCTCGCCTGCACAGACACGCACGATGGATGGACACCCCTCAGCCAATACCCATGCTCACTGTATATTAGCTGGTACACGGCATCATCGGGGTTCGCGCGCAGCTGTACCCACAGAGTGATGGTGCGGACAGAGAACGGCCGCCACAGCAGCGGGCTGCGGACAATGGCACGGTCGCTCTGCGTGACGAAGGTCAGCACATAGGACAGCTGCAGGGCGTTGTTGGTGAGCCGTGGTTGGTAGTAAGGCGTCTGCAACAGTGTGTCTGCGACACGGGTGAGGGTGGCGTTGCCGACGAGGGTGAGGTTCGAGGCGGCGTCACGCCACCGGATGTCCTCGGTGCTCTCGTGATCAAATGGCCACTCAAGCAATGGTCTGCACACACACACCAAACCACACGAGACGACACGACGCATATTTTGGAATGGATTTCTGTTCCTCCGCTCGTCCGTATGTACGCACAGTGGGTATAATCTATGTGGGAGCGCGGTCCCCCTGTAGACGGGCGATCGCTGATACAGCGAAAGGTCCATCATGTGGTCGTCCATCTCCTCGCGAAGTTTCTGCAGAAGTGGTGCATACTTGGGACCGTTGGCGAGATTGGCCGTCTCCTCAGGGTCATCATCCAGCCTGAACAGCTCAGTCCACTCCTTCCACTGAGGGTACTCTGTCAGCTTGGCGTCGGGCTGCGTACCCACGCTTTCACCCGTCCGCCAAACCATACATGTGGGTACTACAAGGGCACACATACAGATACACTAGTGCGACGGTCTCTCCCGGCTCGCTCACTTCGTGCGACGTCGCTGGCAGCTTCAGATACTGCATCGTCCTTGAGGCCCAGATACACGTAGGCAAAGTGATTCGGCCACCAAAAGGGTGCCACCTCCGCACGCTGCGCCGCGTCCAGCAGGGGCATGAACGAGATGCCTTGCATGTACGGAGGCACTTCCAGCCCAGCAAAGTCGAGGAGCGTCGGGGCGATGTCGACGTTTAACACGGTTTGGTCGATGACCGTGTTGCGCTTTATGAGCGCTGGGTAGTGAATCGCCAAGGGCACCCGAATAGACTCTTCATAGGCGACGAATTTGTAGAAGCTCAACTGATGATTGTTGGCCGTCAGACCTGAATATAACGAACTCGTAGGAGTTGCATTCTCAGAGTGTGAGGTCGCTCAGACCATTGTCAGACACGAACATGATAACCGTGTTGTCCAGCAGGCCGCGCTCTTCCAGGGCAGCGTACACGCGGCCGACACTGTCATCGAGTGACGCGATCAAGGAGGAATAGTTCTCCAAGGTCTGCGAAAACCCGTCCTCTGAGCCATAAAAACTGAACGGCTCTGTATCCATCCCCGCCTGCAGAGGCCCGTCTGTGCAGACACGTGTGTGCGTGGAGTGATTCTCTGACTTACTGACATCGAATGGGGGCGCGGTGTTGTGGTTGCGGCTCAATTTAGGTTCAATGCCGGTGAAGTTGAATGCGTGGCCTTTGCCGGGTAGAAAGGGCTTGTGGGGAGCCTTCAAACCGATCGTTACCTACACATATACAGACACCAGCTGCTTGACGTGGTCCGAACCAGCCATCTGACGAGTCACCAGAAATGGCTGATCGTGGCTGGTAGCCTGATGCTCCTCAAGGAACTCCGTGAAAAAGTCCGTTTTCGCCTTGTCGAAAATGAGACCAAAGAGAAGGGCATTGGTATCACATTTCGACAGTGCCGAAGTGAGCACCTTGTCGACCCACCCCTGGCGCTTGATCAACCGCTCCTCAAGCGGTGCCGTGTCAGGTTCCTTGAAATGAGCATTGGATAATAATGTATGTTGGGGATACGGACATTCGGCGTGTGCTGTGAGTTACCTTGTAGAAGACCATGTGATAATACGTAGCACTGCACGCATATGGGGAAAGGTTAGTGTACAGACAAGAGAGGCCGCATCCCATGCATGTGCGTGAGCTGGTACATACCTGCCGATGTACGTCCTGTACCACTGGAAGCAGGGCCGCTCCGACTGTTTGCCCATGTGCCACTGATACCAACCAACAATTTGACGACGTCCCCGGCTGCCCATGAGGTATGCCCACCCACCTTCCCTATGTATGCCGTCTTGTACCCAGCATCTCCCAACAGACATGCATACCTGTACGATCAATCAATCAATCAATCAAGAGCTGTCGTTCAACCCCCACGTGGGCATGTCCGAGGACAACTCGTCGTTGTTGCGATAGACGCCATTCATGAAATTGTATCGTCCTGTGAGCATGCACGCCCTGCTCGCGCTGCAACTGTACACACAACACACATACGATACATGGGTGCTGAGAACGAAGATGCGCCCTTTCCATCCATCGCCTACGAAGATAGTGTGACGTATGCATTGCGGAAGCGCGCCCCGCCAGCCGCAAGACGATCCTGCATACACGGCGTCGCAACCACATATAGAAAAGGGGCACAGAAGTAGAAGCAGCTCACGCACGATGTTTGGCGTAGCCTCCTGCATCCACGGGAAGAGAGCTTCGCGGAAAGGAGGATGCTTGTCCGCGGCAAGCTCCTTCTGTGCATAGCCGACTGCGTCCCAGCGCAGATCATCAGCTATGACGATAACGAAATTAGGCCGGGAGAGAGGCTGACACAGACACACAAAAGGACAAGGTGTGCAAGACGCTACTATGGACGTCGACGTTAATTCAGTTAGAATTGCGTAATAAGTTCACTCAGCAAGCAGACATTCACCGGCTGCGAGGATGCCGCTGGCGTGCGATTGCTGCTTGCTGAAGGCGAGTGGTGGTAGCCTCTCTGCGCCTGCTTCTTATTCCGCTCATCGTCTTGAAGCCGACCGCTTTCATCTGAGTCCTCGCGAAGCATCGAGCCTTGTTGGGACGTCCCCTCTGCGTTGACAGATAGCACCCAAATGAACATGACAGCCACAAGCCAAGCACAGAAGTAGAAGCATCGCTTGAACATAGCTGTTATTCCATCAGTCAAGGCATAGCCACAGAGATCAGGTCAGCCGAGAGAGAGCAAGCCGAGACGTCCTGGAGATTCCCTTGTTTCGACGTTTCTCCGTCTGCGTACTATTTCGACGGACGTTTATTTCAGGCCCAAAGGCACAGCGAACACTCGGAGAAAGTCAAACATCCCGTACTGTAGCTGTTGCCCTCGGGCCTGCCATCGTCGTTTCCGTGTCCGTTCCTTGAGGTATGCCTTGATGGTCTCGAGGCGCTCGTTGGGGTCGGCTGTCTCGATGATCTCCTTGAGGGCCTGCACCCGAGCGTCTCTGGTCTGATGCCGTGGATGTACGATCTTCATCATCATACTTTGCCGGAGAATAGGAATCGCGTGAAACCAACTCGAACGGAGCATTTACTTGCGGCCTGGGTCCCTCCCTCCCCTCCGGATTGTTGTCATCGGTGGAAAAGATCTTTCAGTCAGCTGTCAGAGGCGTCCGTGACATGACAACAGATGACACAGTGCCATCGATGACTATATCCCCGTTTGTCTGACGTACTGTGTGTGAGACGGTCATCCATTATGACGTAACGGATTCTCTCTTGGGCAGTCAGCTGTCTTAGACTATGAAGCGGAGGACAGCCGCAGTATGTCTCGGAGGACTGGCGGTTGCCACGGCCTCCTGGTGCTGGCTCGCCATCTTTGAGCCGGCGCTGCTTACGAGGATGCGGAGAGGCGTCTGGCTGGTCTACATTGTTCCCTTCGGTTCTCGCCTCATCTGGGACAGCCTACATGCAAGCGCTGGGAACGAAGGCGGCCTGTGGCGCTATGAACAGAACGTCCACCGAGAGTTTGATGCTTACATCTCCAAGACCCATGCAGACTATCGCTCCTTGTGGGACACTTCATGCAATATGGGTTTTCTGCTCACCCGTCTGGCCCAGAAATATCCAGAGGCCAGGCACTACGGCAGCGACATCAGCCCCCTGATGGTAACAAAAGCCATCACGATGCATGTATCAATAGTGTTTCTTACCGTCAGGTCAACGTTATGAAGAGGCGGTGTGATAGCCGCTGCATCGTCGCTCCATTCGACCTTTTCTCCATGCAAGATCCCGATTTCCGTCTGCCAAGGGGGTTCCCACGCGCGTTCGACCTGGTCATCGTGTCTGACGTCCTTTTTTACGGCAACTGGGGCGGCATCCCTCCGTTTGTCTGGCAATATAGCCTTCTCCCCAGCTGGCTTGTCGCTTCGCGACGAAGAGCCTTCTGGAATCGTCTCACACATCTGGCCTGCTCTGAGGTGCTTCTGTCAAATCATCAGGAGAATCGAGCTGTACTTCGTCTGATGGTAACAATGGGCGCCACTCCCGTGCTGCCCGACAGGTTGATTTGGACAGCAAAAGGGACTGCCACACACGAGGCTTGCAAAAGTCTGAAACGGGCCGCTCCTGTTACCACATATAGGCTCAGGCGGGCCACAGGTAATTGAACAAAGAAAATGGACGATACACTCTGTGTCAGCGTCCCCTAGCGAGACAAGAAAACATCCCGACGCGGACTCCGTCCATGCATATGTGAGGTGTGCAGACAGACACACGACGATATGAGAGGAGTGGACGGTGTGGAGGAAGAAAGGAGTGTGCGGACAGATCGGACCTTTGTGTCAACGATGATCGGTGTTGTCAGGGTACTTATTGGTATTCAACTTCATGTCAGACGCGCGCAAAAAAACCTACTCTGATATCGTATGGGTATTGGGGTGTCTTCCTTTGTGCTGCCTGAGAGCAAGGATCCTGCCAGTGAATGTACTACCCACTGTCCCATAGAAGTAGTCTGCGAGCGCTGCAGCCTCCTGCTCCACCGCAATTCTCTGTATTCTGTTCCCGCATACATTCAATACATCCCTCGTGCAGCCGTACATAGCGTGAGGAAACGCTCTTTGCATCATCGACAAATCCTTGCGCTCAGCGTCGGTGAGGATGAGAAGTCTGCTGATGTTCCGCCTTGACACTATCGTCCTGATCTGATCGACAAATCCGCCAATGGTCCGGCCGCCGAACTTTTGCCGAAAATCATCATCCCCGTAGCGAATGTGGCAGGCAAGAATATCCCCGTCCGCCCCCCATGAGGGCACGAGCTTCAGCAGTTCAATTGCCGCACCCGTCACCCAGCTTCGAAAGGGCAACGCGAGCTCGGTTGGATAATAGACATCGAGCTTGCCTCTGAAGCTGAACTTGGCAGACACTCCCAAGACATCGTCGTCTCGTGTCCACAGCTCTCGAAGCTGCTTGTCGGAGCTGACGATGGTGGCTTTTGGGATGTAGTGCCACAGAGGCTGCTCGTCGGGCTCTGTTGTCATGGGAACACCGATCACATCTCGTGTCTCCAGCCGTTTGTACACAGCCTTGCAGTCTCTGCAGAACAAACGAGCATGGAACCTGAGAAATAAAGCAAAGTCAATCCAAAAAAAGTGAGAAGCTAGGTTGCTAAGATTGTTACCAGGGACGGACTGTGCAATCCGTCCAGAATCGCTCATGTCCGTACTTCATAGGGAAGACGTTGTCAAGCCACTCTTGAAGCTGTGGATCAATGATTGATTGAAACGTACAAGATTTGCCGCTTCTCGAGGCCCTGCTGTGGATGCTATTGAGGTCCAGGATCTGCAACCACGTCAGATCGTGTGCGCTGACGCCCCTCGCGCCAATCGGCGGCACAAGCAGGATTCTCCTGCTTATGTACGCCACACTCAACCTGAATGCACAAAAGACATGATGACCGAGGGAGATGCTGATCATACGTCCACTCAACATTTTCGCCAACTGAACCTGCAGGCCAAATGAAGATAAAGCCCGCTTTTCGTTGAGGCTCTCACGGTGTCTCACCAGATTGTTTGAGAGCTGTCCGTAGCTCTCGTAACATGCTGCACCTCGCAGCGTTTCGTTGACATGGATGCTTTGTTTTGGTACATCTTTGCTGCGAGTTTGTTGGTTCGAGATGAATCGGAAGGCCGACCACTCAAGGATGTCTCTTATGACACTTCTTCCGGGTATCGTCAGCATCATGCTAAAAACGACGACTGCGACAAAAGGTACCGCGAGAAGAGCCGCGTGTAGGATCATTGTGGTGTGTTCTTTCCCCGTGTAATGGAGCCGACCCAGGAGGCAGTTTTTTTTTTCTTTTTCGCAATGTCTCTCCCACATCTCTCCCACCATTCGTTGTCTGCTCCTTTTCATCCCCTGACCTGAAAGTGTCTCTTTACCCCTATCTGTCCACCGTCAGCTCCCATCAACCCCCCCATCTCTTTTGACAACCCCATTGGGCTGCTACAAGCACCCACCACAGCGGCAGCCGCACGAGGAGGCCTTCCCTCCCTGTCGATTTGCTGAACTTCTCCCTCTCGAGTCTGCGGCCGTATCGGCGTCTGCCTCTTCGGCGCTGGGAACGGTCGGCTCATCTTCATTTATGCAGCGTAGCAGTGTCACCAAGAAGGTGCACAAAAATTTGTCGTCTCGTTTCCATCGTCTCCAGGGATGTCGTGGAAGGATGATTGACGTTTGTTCGTCACTTTGCCGCAATTCGTTTATGCACAAGAATTAATCACAAAGGGAAGGGGTTCGATTGGTCGAGTCCGTAGTACTTGGGGTCCCACATAGGTGATACATCCATCCATCCCCTCTAGTAGTGACGAGAAGTTTCCTTGTCTCCTCTCCCTGCTCTCTCCATCGCCCGCCAGCTAGCAGCAAAGCAGATGTGAATCGATCGACCGAGCCAGCAAGCAAGCAAAAGCATCGACGATCCACATATACGCCACGCAACACACAGTAAAGCAGAAGCGCGCGCCTCACACACGCCCACGCAGACACACACACAGAACCAGCTGCACACATACACACGCACACACGGGGAGAGAGAGATATCAGCACGCCGCCATATACAACAAACAACAGAGGTTACATTAGCTGTACCCACCCACGCAGTGGCACTATGTAGTGGTCGTGGGGTGGGGTGGTACGGGCACGCAAATGGCTGCTGGTGAGTCGCTTGGTTGGCCGGTCGGTCGGTCGATGGCTGGCTGGATGGGTCGGTCAGCTGGCTGCACGCATCGATCAACCAAATGGCTGACCGACCGACGTACGGACCGACCAGCCAGCTGGCTACACGTCAACAACGAACCGACCCCAATACATCCATCTATCTGTCTGTCAGTCTGGCTGTCTGCCTGTCTGTCTGTCTGTCTGTCTATCCGTCATCGAAGAGGTCGAAAAAGTCTTCGTCTTCGTCACCCTGGTACTGTGAGACAATCCAAAACAACGTAAGACATCATCATTACGGGAAAAAAAGAGGTGGCTCTCGTGTGTCACTGGCTGGTTCGCTGGATCACCTGCAGATGGATATCGTCCTCTTTCACCACCACACCACGAATGCCCTACACACACAGACATACAGAGAAAGAAAGAACAAGAAGGACAAGTAGGGACACTTCCACATGACGCCCCTTTTCCCACTGCCCGACCCACTGACCCACCGCGAATTTGTCGACGATGTCTGCGATGTCCTTGGGGACGCCCTCATCTCCCCGATCATCTTCCGCCTCTCCATAGCCCGAGTCCTTGCCCACCCACACCCACACCACCAGCCTGTACCCCGGCCGCTGCTCGCGGCCCTCACCCTCACCCTCACTGCCCTCACGCGCACTCGGCAACGGGCTGCGGGGAGTCGGGTTCGTACGCGCCGACCCGGCACTATTGGCGACCCGCTTCTCACGATCTCGAGTGCTCGAGGGCGGTTCCAGCACCGACGAACCAGTGGCAGCAGCAGCGGGGGGCTCCTCATTGTCGGGCTTGGGTGGTGGGGGAAGGGGGACGTGTTGGCGCTCGTACTGTGCGAGTATGAAGAGGCCGCGGTCGTCGAGGTCGTCCGAGTCATACATCTCTAGTTCGTGCTCGAGGTCGGGGTGCTTGAAGAGCTGGTTGGGGGGTAGGCGGGGGGAGGGCGCCATGGACCGGTGGGTGTACTCGCCCCGCGGGGTGGGGTTGCCCCGGAGGCTCACAGACGGGCTGGACACCGAACGACTCTGCCGATTCAACTCGTCCAGCACCAGCCGATACGCCTCGTCATTCTGAACCCACACCCACACCCATATGGATGGACACATGGATGGTCATGATGTGATGTGATGTGACTGACCTCAGGACGTCTGGTGGGAGGCCACTGGTCGGGTGGCAATCGTGTGGCGGGTGAGACTGTGGTGGGGATGAGTGGAGGCGGGCTGGTGGCGTCAGCCATGTCGGTGTCGCCGCCCCGGCCGTTGGGCGCCATCCCTGCCTGTGCAGGCTGTGTCTGTGCAGTGGGTGAGAGTAGGTCGAGGTCGAGTAGGCTCCAGAAGAGGGGACCCTCCTCCCCCTGCACATACTCATGCCCATCGACGCCTGAGACACGGAACCGACCACAGACAAACAGAGGAGAAGACAGCCAGACAGACAGAGGGGATTGGTGGGTTGGTGTGTGTATGTCTAGGATGGTGCTGGTGATGTGGCCTAGGCCAACACGTACATGGTATGCCCTCGAACAGCTTGAGGTGTCCCTCGAATTGCCTGACCCCATCCATGGCCTCATCCACATTCGGACACTCTGATCCAACCCACACCACCATCTGCACAACATACACAGTTGCACCACGAAATATAAGGGACCGTCCACTGCCCTCACAACCGATCGATCACACCTGGCTGCCCCTCAGGATGACAAAGACGAATCTGGGGTCGAGCGCCGCCACTCCGTGCGCACTGGCGGCCATGGGCTGTGCACAGGAGGACAGTGGGACCGGCCATAGGACCAATGAGGGGTCCTTTGGTCCGTGTGGCGCCACCCTGAAGACCCTGGCGCGGAAGTCAGCGGTCGATGTGGTGGTGAGCAGCGGCATGGCGGGGGGCGCCTGGGGCGCCAGAGATGTGGACGTGCCTGTGGAGGTGGAGTTGGTGCCGTTGACTTGGGGAGGTGGCGGGGTCGCCGACGCGCCGTTGGGGTGCCGCTCGTGCAGCTGGGGGTGGGGCGGGGAACCTGAGAGACATGGGGCCGCAGGTGTTGATTTGCATTGATTTGTCGAGTGAACAGTGAGTGGGGGCATTATTTTCCTGCGTCTTTCGCGCACCTTTGTCGGCGTTGCTGTTGAGTCGTTTGCCGAGGAGAATGAGCTGGTAAGTGAAGCCCGTATTGGGGTTGCAAATGGGACGGCAATCACGCACCTGATTCATGGCCAAGAAACCTTCATGCCTTGTTGGGGTGTGAGTTGTATGTTGTGTGTGGCTCACAGCGTTGTATGCCGTCTCGAAGGGCCACTTTCGCCTCCACATCAGATACGCCGTCGCGAGCGTGGCGGAACGAGACACACCTGAGGGAGACGAACGGAGTGTTGCATGAATCAATGGACAAGCAGTTTTTCCTCGCTTTGCGTGCTGACCCTCTCTGCAGTGAATGAGGACGCGCCCCCCGCCGTCGATTGCGTCGTGTATCCACTGCATGGTCTTGTAAAACAACACGCTGATCTCCTCGGTCTTGGTGTCCTGATCGTGGATGGCCACGCCACACAAGCAAGCAGGTCCATCCCTGCACTTCTCTGTGTGTGTTGTGTGTGTGGGGGAGGGAGGTGTGAGGGTTTGTTTGCCTTGAGGTAGTAGGTGAGGTATTCGTATTTGTGCGGGAATGGGCTGTCGCACACGTCACCCGCTGAGTTGATGATGTGAGTGATGCCCTCACCATCCAACAACTGCAGTAGCCCATCCGACACATGAATACAAACAGTCTGCACCTACAATACAGGTCTCTCTGTCTGTGCGCGTTCGGTGCTGGTGTGGCGCTTTGTTGGCTGGCTGGCTGGCTGACCGCTTCGCTGCTGGCGACTCCGTATCCCGCCACGTACAGCTCTCCAGGGATGATGGGCGAACACTTGGTGCTGACACACACAAAGGCAGGCAGACGCACATCACGTGGTCGCGTAGACGCTCCACGTGCGTCAGTCAGTCGTGCCAATCATGTTTATCAAATGTACCGGTATTCGTTGAGCAGTCTTCTCTTCCTCAAGCTATCGGTCTCCTCATACTCCTGTACAAAAAGGAAGACACCGATTCCAAACATGGAGAGAGACCAATTCCCTCACCCCCACTTACATCGGCCTCCGTCTCCACCTCAAGCCGCCGTTTCTCAGCCCCACCGTCGCTACGCACGCCACTCTGTGACGACACTACACCACCACCACCACCACCAGCAGCCACACCAGCAGCCACAGGAGCGCCGCCCCCACCGCCAATGTTGGGAATGGCCACGGGCGGCACCCGAGGGCTCAGGATCATCCCACTCAACTCAAGGGGCGGCGGCCGTCTCGCTACCGGAGGCATCGTCGACGAGTCAGCCATACGCGTGCGATGCATTTGCGGGTGGGCCGGGCCCATGCCCGCGTTTTCTTCGCCTGGTGTGTGGTCCTTGGATATCAGCTGCTGCGGGATGGACAGCTTCGGCACCACCTGCCGGCCCTTCTGCATGCCGGAGGTCAGAGGGGGCACCACTGGCACCCCTGCTGGCCGTCCTCGGCCTCGAGCAACACCACCACTGGCAGCAGAAGCACCGGCCGGCGGAGCGATGTTGGCCAGACCGAGAGGGGGGATACCGACGCCCCTGCCCCTTCCGGAAGGCGCAGACCCAGATGGAGCTCCTTTCCTCGCACTCACAGGGGCACGCTCTGCCATGTCGGTGTCCATAATGTCAGCCGACACAGGTGCAGATGTCTCGTCAGCACGGTGCCGCCCTTGCCGAGATGACCCCTTCCTGCGGCTCACATCACCACCACCACCACCGAGAGAAGCACCGGCAGTGGGCTGAGCTCCGGCGGGTCTGGGTGATATCTTGGGTTTGACGCCCGTCAGCCCCGCCAGGTTGAGCCGTGGCATCACCGCGGGCACCACAGGCTTCTTCCCGCCACCCCGCGTCAGCACCGGGGCTGCCACGTACGGCGCCGCTGGCTCGGCGGCGGGGTGATGCTGATGCTGATGCTCCCCCACCACCAGCGCCTCCTTGTCGCGGCCAGGCGTCTGGAATGCCGAGCTTGCATCTGAGCTGGTGGCCGACAGGGGCGGGTGGGTGTCGGCTTTGTTGCTGTCTTTGTCGGCGCGTCTCTCGAGCACTGGCTGCAGGTTGAGGCCGGGTGGCCTGAATGGCACTGAGGGGACGGATGGCGGTGAGACGCAGGGAATGCGGTGTGGGGGGAAGGAGACGGGGATGGGCTCCGGCGATGATGCTGGTGGTGGTGGTGGGGTTGGGGGGATCGATGGGCCCCCAGCCACGATACGCGGAGCCGGCTGGGCCGTCACGTCCACATCCATCGCCACGCGCTCGTCAGGCGCACCCTTCTGCACACACAGACCAAGGCACGCACAGAGAGAAACTGTCCATCGACGGATGCGCCCATCCATCCGTCCACCTATGTCTGTCTGCATGTCAGTTAGTGCATACGTGTGTTTGTGCAGGTGCAGTGGAAGGTGTCAGGTGCACCCCCTGGTCCACCACTGCTACGGCCTGTGGTGGTCTCTCCATACTATACAGCTCTCTGCCCAGCTCCTCGTACCGCACACACACCTGGCCTGACGCTGGCGGGGGTGGGCCCAGCGACGGACGGGCGATGGTGCGATCGGTGTCTAAGGCCACACCCGCCCCACGCCCACTGGTGCACGTCCGCATGGCATCGTCGTCGTCATGGGTGGCGAGGTTGACGGGATGGGGAGAAGAGAGATTGTGCAGCAACAAATTGCGGGACGCCAGGGCGCCTGAATGAACGATGCATGCACCGATACATAAATGCTTTGTTGCAGCCATGACATGATGGATGGATGGATGGATGACGTGTTTTATCGGCTGTATGCTGGCTGACCATATGTGGTATGGAGGGGTGTAACCGATGCGGCGTCGGGCGATGGCGGAAGGAGGACAAAGGATGCGGCGAAGTCGCACCAGTACCTGACGAACGAACCAAAACAGAAGAGCAGAAATGGACACCTGGCATCACGCCCGTGTTCGTGAGTACCGTACCTCTTGAAGAGTCCCCAATCTACGAGCACCTGCTGCAGCTTCATGGCCAGGAAATCACCATGACACTGCACCCACACCGCCCACCAACACAGACATACAGACCATGACAGACACCATAGAGAAAGAGAGAGAGAGAGCCTGAGACCGATCAATGGATAAGTGACAGCGATGCTGACTGACCTCGACTTGGACGGGTGCGTGTGTGCCGATCCACGAGAAGCAGTCACACCGGATCACACGCGACACGGATGTTGGCGCGCTGCAAGATGAAGCGGGAGATGGGGAGGGGGAGGGACGCGAATACGGACTATCGCTATGCTGCCACGCCCACAACTGACCACACAAGCACCCACACAAGAGCCATGCATATCTCCCTCCCTCCCTTCCTCCCTCCCTCCCTCCCTTCCTCCCTCCCTCCCTCCCTTCCTCCCTCCCTCCTGGTGAATTCCCTGACATTGGTCTCGCTCTCCTCGAGCACTCTAGCCAGGTCGCCTCCGACGCCACACGCCGCACCAGCACCGCTGACCCCCCTCCTCTGCCCGCTCGCCTCGCACCGAATGTGCAGGATGGTGTAGACCTCCTTACTGTCCAAACAGGGGGTCGCGAATGCGGTGCGGTCGGGGGACAGCAGCGGGATGGGCTCGTCATGGACGCGCCGGGAGGACGATTCCGGGGCTGAAGGGTCCACCACCTCCTTGACACGCCACACCTGGCCAACGCACACGACACAGGCAAAAGGGAGGGCACATCACATCACATCACAGGCTGCCTGGCTGGCGGGCTGCATGCACGCGGCCACCAGGCATCATCCATCCTGTGTCCTGTCTGCACTGCACTGCACTGCTCAAATTGCAATCATACAAAAGGCAAAAGGAAACAGTGTGATTACCTGCAGGTAGTCAGTCGGTTCAGTCGGGAAGGCCACGTCAGCGTCGGCGATGGGCGGTTTGCGCCTGCCGCCCTCCAAATGCTCCGCCAGGCTGCACAGAGCCGTACCCGACACGTCAACTAACAGACGGCGGCTGAGCTGCCCTCCCATACTCAACCAAGTAACACCACTATCAAATGACGCACTATCGCAGCGCTCTCTTAGCCTCGCAGAGCACCCACATTGGGCGCGGACTGTTCAGGGTCAAATCAAGCTCTTTTGGGCACCAACGCTCGTCGGGCCCTCTCTGCCGATGACTCCCACAGGACGGCTGCCGTTTTCGTGAGGGAGAGGAGAAGCCTGCGAGCTTTTGCGAGCTTGTGTGAAACGAAAGAAGCTCTGCGCGTGTCTCCGAGGGCGTGCGCGACACTGCGGAGTGGACCCCAGCAGTTTTTGAGCGGATCTGTCTGGTGCCGCTTCTCCTTGCGCGTCTCTCGCGAGTGGTCCCGGCTGTCAGGTCCTCTGAAGGAGAGCCTACTGCCGCATAGCCTGCGAAGATGTCGTTCGTCTACTCGTGGCTGGGCGTCACGCCCCGCAGACGGTTCGGTGCCAAGTTCAAGTGACCCTCACGAAGGGGACCGAGACACCAAGACACTGAAGAGACGACCCGACTGCTGCTGTGCTGTGCTGCCTGTCCGCTTCCCCTTTGGTGATTTTGCCCGTCCACCCCCCACGCAAGCCACCTACCCACCCACCCAGCTGTATATATCATCCATCCATCGTCCACGTCACACCGACCGGCCTTATTGCTCATGTATCTCATCATGGAGTGACGCCATCAATCCATCGCCCGGCGACGCAGCGCGGCTCGGCGCGGCTTGCTAGGCACCGACCTTTCATACCGATCGACATTACCAACTCATTTCTGTATCCGGCGACGAGACGAGGCGGATAAGAGGGGGATTTTGACAACCAGAGAGGAGAGTGACCAGCGTGACGGCCAAATCGCTGTTGAACCGCCCGGCAGTGACTGTACAGGGGTCGACAAAAGAGGAGAGCCGACAATCGATGGCTGTCCGTGTGTCGTCGCGTGTGCTGCTGGGCGTGGTGGGGCTGGCGGCTGCGGCAGTGATGCTCGTGGCCGCTGCGGCGCCGGTTGTCATGAGGGAGAGGAGAGGAGAGGGCGCGGGGGCGGGCATTGGGGGCGTTTTGGGGTGGTACGTGACTGGCGTGGGCGGTTTTCTGTGGTCGATTCTCGTGCTGCTTAACAAGTATTTGACGGCGGCGCCACTGCTGGCAAACGCCATGACCGCCGCGCTCTTCTGCTGGCTGGTACTCACGAAATGCATCCACGAAGTCCGTCGATGGATGCGATGCATACGTCTGTCTGTCTGTCTCTGTGTATGTGTTGTGCAGGGTGACCTGATAGGTCAGTACATTGGTGGCCGCAGGCGCGACCAGCTGACGGCGGAGACTGTGGTGAAGATACAGCTCCGAGGACGACCGCGACCCTATGCCTACGACGTGCGCAAAGCGCTCATATTCACCGCCGCTGGGGCGACATCAGGTACGAAACCACACCCGTTTCCCATAGATCGGCTCACGTTCGCGTTCTTCGATGTTTTTGTTCAGGTGTGTTCAACTGGGTCAAGTTCGCGATGCTGGAGAGGGTGATAGGTTCGTCGACAGTGTGGCAGATCGCGGCCTCGGTGGCGTGCGACCAGCTCATCTGCGCGCCACTCGCCAACTGGTACACTGACGACTGACACACAGAAGGATACGTTCCCATATACGTTTCCATGTACGTTCCCATATGGTCCATGTATGCATGTATCGCCATGTGTGGTGGTTGGCTCTGTCGATCCGATGCACCTTGGTTTGTTCAGGACCTTTCTGGTGTGGTGCGCCATATGGGAGAGGGCTGGTGGCGGGGGCGTGACTAGGCGTATCGTGACGGCGGTTACAAGGGCGACGTTCGATGTAGCGCCGCTGACGTGGTCCTCGCTCAAAGTGTGGCCCGCGGTAAGCAGCCGCGATGGAAGCAGAAAAGAGACGTGTTCAAGGTGCTTGTTATTTGCATATGCTCAGGTTGTGGCGATGAATCTGTGGCTGGTGCCCGTTGACCTCCGTGTGCTCTTCATCAGCTGCGTCGTCATCCTCTGGAACGTCTTCCTGTCACTCAGGTACCTACACACCAGCCCAGCCAATACACTCACAGCCTAGCGTCTCCTCTGTTGTCATTTTGTATCGTCTCGTGCAGGTCCTCATCTGCCGCACCGGCATCCCCCCACCCCCCAGCCGTCATCACCGTCACACCCTTCACCACGAGTGGCGACCAACACCCACTCTGCTGCACACAGGGAGACCTGGAGGAAGGCCTGCTCATGAGCCTGCCATGCGGCTCCAGCGCCAGCACCATCCTGCCTCCCAGCACGGCGTCATTCTTCAGCAGCAACAGCAGTGTTTACAGTGACACCGACGAGAGCACAACCGAGTGCGGCAGCCCCCTGCCCCTTGACAACCTGACGTGCCCCTATGGCCTGATGATGCCCGACGATGCTCCTCGGGGTGAAGAGATCCGCACGGTGGCCAGGGGCGTTTGTGACGCTGGCGGTGCTGCTGCTGGTGCTATTGGAGGTGGCGGGTTGCTGTCTCCCACGGTCAGTGTGTCGACCAGATTCCCCTCTGTGGACGGGTATCTGTCAAGCGAATGAACGGATGAATGACGTGACGGGG